GAGCTTGGCATATCACATCATGTATCATGCCCCCATGCACATCAACAGAACGGCTCTGCCGAAAGGAAACATCGCCATGTTGTTGAAGTAGGGTTAGCTCTACTAGCAAACGCATCCATGCCACTAAAGTTCTGGGATGAGGCATTCTTGATTGCCACATACCTCATTAATTTACTCCCTAGTAAAGTCATCAAATTCGAGACTCCCATCACACGTCTTTTTGGTACCACTCCTGACTACAAAACACTTCGTGTATTTGGTTGTGCTTGTTGGCCTAACCTTCGTCCGTACAATACACATAAACTTGCCTTCCGTTCCAAAAAGTGTGTGTTTCTTGGGTATAGTCCAATCCACAAGGGAGTCAAATGTCTTGATGTTTCCACTGGCAGAGTTTATATCTCTCGAGATGTTGTGTTTGATGAATCTGTCTATCCTTTTGCGTCCCTTCATCCCAATGCCGGAGAACTTCTCAAGAAAGAGCTACTTCTTCTTCCACCACATCTCCAAAACATTGATCATGGGGGCGACAGTTGTAGTAACCAAACTGATGATCCTACTAGTGGAACCATGTCTCCTTGTATGCAGGATCATGCAGCAGAAATCAGTGCAGAAAATGATCAAAATTTTGAAGAAAACGATCCTATATTGCATGTGCCAGAAGAAGACGGAGCAGGCGCGGAACACGAAGCAGATCCGCCATCACGTGGAACTCCTATGCGCCAGGTCGCCTCAGATCAAGTGTGCAGATTCGCGCCGGATCGCGCGCCGGGCAGGAGTCTGCAGCGCCAGTTGGAGGGCGACGCGTCATCACGTCACGATGAGACGCCGCGTCCCGCACCGCGTCCCACGCACGGGCCCAACGTGTCGACAACGACAGGCGGATCTGGGTCAGCATCGGGATCCCTGACCCACGCGCGTGTGCAGACCAGCAGCGCGAGATCTTCTGCGGCTGCTGCTTCTGGTGGGTCGGCCACATTACAGGCCACACGGCTCGGCTCGGGATTCGTTGTGGAAAGCGGATCTGAGGCGTCTCCAGGATCCTCTGTGGCTAATTCTGCTGCGTCGTCTCCTGTACCACCTCCAACTACGGTTTCACGTGTTATGACTCGGCTTCAGAAAGGTATTCGAAACCCAAAATTTAGAACTGACAACACTATTACATATGGTATGCTATGTATCACAGGAGAACCAGCAAGGTTAGAAGATGCCTTAGGGGATCCAAGATGGAAAATTGCAATGGATGAGGAGTACTCAGCTCTCATGAGGAACAAGACTTGGCATCTTGTACCTGAAAAATGAGGTAAAAATATTATTGACTGTAAGTGGGTTTACAGAATCAAGAAAAAGGCAGATGGCACTATTGATAGGTATAAAGCACGCTTAGTTGCAAAAGGTTTTAAACAACGTTATGGTTTGGACTATGAAGACACCTTTAGTCCTGTTGTTAAAGCTGCAACCATTAGGCTTGTGCTAGCAATTGCTGTGTCCAGGGGATGGAGTCTGAGACAGCTAGACGTTCAGAACGCGTTTTTGCATGGTGTTCTGGAAGAGGAGGTTTACATGAGACAACCACCTGGGTATGAAAGTAAGAAAACACCTCATTATGTGTGTAAGCTTGATAAGGCACTTTATGGTTTGAAACAGGCACCAAGGGCATGGTATTCAAGGTTGAGCTCTTAGTTGAAGTATCTTGGTTTTGTTGCATCCAAGGCTGATACATCTTTGTTCATTTATAACAAAGCAAGTACAACTATATTTGTGTTAATATATGTTGATGATATCATAGTTGCAAGCTCCTCTCAAAGTGCCACTAATGCTCTTTTGAGTGATCTGAGTTCACAGTTTGCCTTGAAGGACCTTGGTGATCTACACTTCTTTCTAGGTATTGAAGTCAAGAAGATTCAAGATGGTATAGTACTAAATCAGGAAAAATATGCCACTGAACTTCTAGTTCGTATGGGAATGAAGGACTGTAAGCCTTCACCCACACCATTGTCTCCTTCAAAAATACTTTCAGCCTTTGAAGGAGAGCCACTTAAGGAAAAAGAGAGCACAAGATACAGGAGTGCAGTAGGAGCTTTGCAGTATCTGACACTGACAAGACCAGATATATCCTTTGCTGTTAACAAGGTTTGTCAGTATCTTCATGCACCTACTACTGTACACTGGACAGTTGTTAAGAGAATTATATGGTATATAAAGCATATTGTGAGTTTGGGTCTTCAGTTCAAGCACTCTAACTCATCTCTTGTTAGTGCCTTCTCTGATGCTGACTGGGCAGGATGTAGTGATGACAGAAAGTCAACTGGAGGCTTTGCAGTTTTCTTTGGCTCAAATATCATTTCTTGGAGTGCTAGAAAACAGGCCACAGTGTCCAGGTCAAGTACTGAAGCTGAATACAAGTCATTAGCAAATGCTACTGCTGAAATCATTTGGGTTGAATCATTGCTCAGTGAGTTGGGAGTTAAGCAACGTCGTGTGTCATGTTTGTGGTGTGACAACTTATGAGCCACGTATCTTTCTGCAAATCCGGTGTTTCATGACAGAACGAAGCATATAGAAATTGACTTTCACTTTATAAGAGAAACGGTTGCAGAAAAGAAGTTAGACATACGGTTCATCCCTTCCAGAGATCAAGTTGCGGATGGATTCACTAATGCTTTGCCAGTCAAGCCTTTCGAGAAATTCAAGAAGAATCTTAATGTAGGATAGTTTAGATTAAGAGAGGGTGTTAGACTTAGAGATATATTTTTGTAATCTCAACTAACTCTATCTCTTCCTCTCCCGTAGCTTCCCTTATCTCTTCTGTAACAAACCGAATCCCAAGCGATCGGTAATTCCTTGTAAGCCATGGCAAGGGGTGTTTCCTGCCGAAAATCAATATATACATACGCGGCTCCCTCACGAGGGAGTAGGGACGCTTCCCATCTAACAGAGACGAGACGAGGAAGCAGCCGATGAAGACAAACTCAAACGTGCCCGTGGTTGCCGCCGGGTGCGTGCGGCGCGCGCGCTTGTGGTAACTCCCGTGATCCTCGGGCGTTTTCTGGCTGTGAAATGCTACCGGCTATACATTTGATTTTACATATACTCCGAGGTCATATCTGATTGGTCTAAGCCATTTGTACGTCTACCTTTCTCCGGAGATTCTAGTCACGCCATTGTTTTCTACTCCTACCTTGCATGTGATCCATCGTACTATATCTTTATGCACAAGGGATGTTTGATGTATGCTCAAGGGATAGGAGCCGGCCGTGACGTCTACGTACCTTGCTAGTGATCCATCAGATATCTTTTTTCTACCGCATGGGACATGTGGTTTGCAAACTCAAAATTCACACATATATCTTTTTTTAAGGGATCCATATTTTTACATAGCTTTACAAGAGAGTATACGGGTACCTCATAAGGGCAATTTTGAACACAGATCACCGAAATGGAACTCATCAAACGTAGACATACTCGCGGACGGTGATAATGGTGAACGCCATCCAACCGCGGACTTCTATCTGTTCCTTTCCCTCAACAAAGAAATGAAAAAACTAAGACAAATGTCCGCCTCCAGTATCAAGATCAACAACAATTCAACCGTACCACATTTAGATCTGAAAGCACTCATCGAAAGATGTTCAACAATTTTTTTTCCTAAATTTATCAAATCCAAAAGCGGCCTTAATCTCAACCTTCCTCTCATCGAGCTTAATAAACTTCTTCATAGGCACTGGTTGATCCAGTTGCTATTCCTTTGGATTTCATCCAACAATGGGTTTGCCTCTGTCATTTGATACAACACGCACATGCGTCCGGACTAGACAATGACGTGATCAAGAAATTGCAAAACATTGAGCAAATCAATGAAATGACCAAGAGTAACAAGGAGCAAAACTTACGATCTCTTCAAGTGACGCGCCCCTTGGCGACCTTTTTGGCACTCGTGCATACAAACCGCAATACTTTGTTGACGGCATTTTGAATGGCGTACCATATGGATGGAGTAGTGACCTCACACCATGATCATGGACCACTTCCATGTTTTAGGGGGGGGGGGGCGTAGTTCTTGTGCCCATTGAACAAAACATGCACACTTTTGCCAAAATGCCACATTATGCTTCATGGCTTGAAAATCCACACTTGTGCCAACCATGCCTCACACAACAATCCACCCTCCTTCACCAAGTATGCAACAATCATGTTTCCTTGATAGTCAACAACGACAATGTCAAAAGTT